AGGCCACCAAATGGCGACGCTGCATATGCTGCCGCAACGCTGTAGTCCCAACATGGGCCCCCTGGCCACGCTTGACTTTCTGGCCACATAGTCGACATACGGCTACGTTTACTTCCTCGGGCGGCTTGACAAAAAATTGCCACACCGCCGAGTAGGAAACTTTGCCCCCGATACTCCTCACTGGCTGACTGCTGCTTCCTCCGTGCACACCGGCACCACTACTGGCCGTGGTGGTAGGCTGCAGTGGAGCTGGTGCTGTACTCCGTGGCCGTTTGCCTCCACTGACACTGCTGCGACCCTGCTGCCTCCTGGGCAACCCACCGACTGTTTTGTCGCTGCCAAGCTGCCACCCTCTTCTCCTGATGATGCGGAAGCAATAGCCTGATGACGACGAGGCTGCCAAGTGCGATCAGCCTCATCATCATCAATTAGGGTCTCCGCCTCACTACTAGCCCCCTCGGCTGCGTGTGGGTCAGGAGACAGACCTGTCTCTAGACCGGCTACCGAGCCACTCTCCTCGCCAGTACTTCTTCGCCTGGCTGCTGAAGAGGCGGATGTCTCCCCCCGTTCCTGACCGCCCTCTGTTAGCTCTTCCTCACTGTACAGTGGGGCTGAGCCCACAGCATGCGATACTTCGCTTGGTGAGGGAACACCAAAGGACAGGGGCAGGTAGAGGACACGTGATTTCAGTGGGCTTGCTCCCGGGCCATGCCAACTAACGGTTGTGTTGGCTGTAGGTGTCAGAGGTGACCTGGGAAGAGGAAGACGACCGAGCCAACCAATCGATGACGGCAGGGTTGTCGGTGGAGACACGACCGCTGGATGACACCGGGAGCACTGGCCTCTGGCTGCGAATAGTGCTGCCTCGACCCCTTCCTCTGCTGCCACGTCTGCTCGCTCCTAAAACATTGCCGCCTCTGCCACTCCTCTGCATGTTGTCTGACATACTCTTTAATTAAACGATTCTGTGTCCCTGAGTAACAATTCTGTGTCTGTCCCTGAGTAACAATTCTGTGTCTGTCCCTGAGTAACAATTCTGTGTCCCTGAGTAACGTTTCTGTGGCCCTCAGTAACAGTTCTGTGGCCCTCAGTAACAATTCTGTGTCCCTCAGTAACAATTCTGTGTCCCTCAGTAACAATTCTGTGTCTGTCCCTCAGTAACAATTCTGTGTTCTGTAACAATTCCCTCAGTAACAATTCTGTGTCCCTCAGTAACAATTCTGTGTCCCTCAGTAACAATTCTGTGTCTGTCCCTCAGTAACAATTCTGTGTCTGTCCCTGAGTAACAATTCTGTGTCTGTCCCTGAGTAACAATTCTGTGTCTGTCCCTCAGTAACAATTCTGTGTCCCTGAGTAACAATTCTGTGTCCCTGAGTAACGTTTCTGTCTAAGTGTTTCTGTGGCCCTGAGTAACAATTCTGTGTCTGTCCCTGCCCTCAGTAACAATTCTGTGGCCCTCAGTGTTCTGTGGCCCTCAGTAACAATTCTGTGTCTGTCCCTCAGTAACAATTCTGTGTCCCTGAGTAACTCTGTCCCTGAGTAACATTCTGTTCCCTAAGTAACGTTTCTGTGGCCCCTGTGGCCCTAAGTAACGATTCTGTGGCCCTCAATAACGATTCTGTATCCCTCAGTAACAATTCTGTGGCCCTAAGTAACAATTCTGTGTCTGTCCCTCAGTAACAATTCTGTGGCCCTAAGTAACAATTCTGTGGCCCTAAGTAACGTTTCCTAAGTAACAATTCTAAGTAACGTTTCTGTGGCCCTCAGTAACAGTTCTGTGGCCCTAAGTAACGTTTCTGTGGCCCTCAGTAACAATTCTGTGTCCCTCAGTAACAATTCTGTGTCTGTCCCTCAGTAACAATTCTGTGTCCCTGAGTAACAATTCTGTGTCCCTGAGTAACAATTCTGTGTCCCTGAGTAACAATTCTGTGTCCCTCAGTAACAATTCTGTGTCCCTAAGTAACATTCTGTGGCCCTAAGTAACGATTCTGTGGCCCTCAGTAACGATTCTGTATCCCTCAGTAACGATTCTGTGCCCTGAGTAACGTTTCTGTGGCCCTAACTAACGATTCTGTGGCCCTAACTCTCTCCCTGAATACAGCCAGGTCTGCCTCTGTTGAATGACTGGAGGCAAATGGAGAATTCTAAAATGGCCGCCATTTATAGCTCGACCATTACACTGTGCTGGCTGGCTGGCTGCTGATTGGCTAATGCGATCACATGTCATGAATGAATGTATTATGGGTCAGCGCGCCTTGTCTGCGCGCCTTCCCAGACATCCCCGCTCCGTCGCCGCCATTTTAGGAAAAATTTCGATTCGCGCATCCGAAGTCTGCTTATTTTCAGATTCGACGCGAATCTAAATTTTCCTAATATTCGAAACAAATTCCACTTCGCCTACTTCGATTCGCTCATCTCTAGTTAACTTTATCACTTCCTGTATGCATTGCTTCTCTTAGGTTTATACTGTATGATCTGCAATGTGGTAGACCAATGTTGATTAGTAATTACAGTGTGCTAATTTAGAACACTGACCTCACACTAAAAAAAAAAATGCTGTACGCTTTTGATAATGCTGCTCCACTGTTCTTGAATTTGGAGCAGCATTGTCCTCCTTTGTGGGCACTACAGTGGGATGAAAGTTTGAGGCTTGGGCATTACATAGTAAGTAGAACTGTGACAGTTACCTAGGATTTAAATAAACTTTAATGTACTTCCATAAGCCATTTTGTCAGTCAACATAGCTGTTCATTTGCTAACAAATCAACCAGGACAACCAGCAGCATTTGAAGATGGAAAGAATAGTAACTAAATTTAAATGGTAATCTATACAAGTCACAGTATCGCAGGTAGAATGCTGTAAAGATGAACTGATCCATTTGTGGATAGATGTTCACATTAATTTGCACTGTGTTTTAAAGTGTTACTAAACCCAGGACCCTGCATCTACGATATTTGGTCTCCCACAGAACATAGAAATGCAATTATTTTAGTAACTATAAACTGCTAACTACCTTTTCTCATCAGCAGTTAGAGCAGTCTTATGACTTCTTTCAGTGTACAACCCAGCACATGTTGAAACTTGTAGGAGCTTTCTTTCTGCTCTAGGAGGATGCAGGACCCCTGATCCTCTGTGTGATCACATGCACTCTCCCAAGAAAAAAAAAAAACCTCTCTGGTAATACACACCAAACTGAGCATGTGCAGAGTGTCTCCACACGCTATACCTTATCAGGAGATGAGAGGACACTGGAAGAAGGGAAGGATAGGATCAAACAGCATTTTTTACACAATGCAGAGGATTAATCCCTTAGGTTCCACAGTAAGTATAACAAGCATGCCTTTCTGCATATACAGACTGATTTTGTTGCTGTGGGTTTAGTAACACTTTAAGCCCCATTAGTATTCCCTTGGTCTTAGCACAGCTCGAGCAGGGCTGTTGTAATTGCTGGTACAGACCAAATTGGAGCCCTCTGTTAGTGTTGTATAGTATACAGTGGATTATATTCATAAGCACAAGTGTATTGCAGATACTGGGTGCACTATCTATAGTGACTTGCGTTTTGCTCTGTACCAACCATCAGTGTAGCTCCATGTGATGTATGTTGGTCTGTTTGTAAATGAGCATTAAAACAAACAAAAATGAACATTTACCTAGGCTCAGTAGAATTCTCTTCCAATCATCCCCAGATATTCTTACTATTTAATAATAGTCCTTTTTCAGTTATATTCATCAGTCCAATTGGACTGACAAATGAAAAATGTGTGTTCCATGACTCATGACCCACTAGCGCACCGACACAAACGTATTTAGGAGCTTGCTCTTCTACGTGTAAATGCCCCTTCTTATCACTCTCACCTTCCCCTCTGGCTTAACCCCCGGTTGCCCGAACTCACTATTCCTAACCCCGAGGTATGGTCCTCTAGGGGAATCCTATACCTTCACCTGGTGATAGCTCCCTCTGGGCCCAGGCCTTTCCAAACCCTAAAAGAGGAATTTGTTCTCCCTATTGCTGTTTAGATACCTACAGCTACAACATGCCTTGCAGGCCCGGTTCCCTGAGCGAGCCTTTCTCCTTCAACCCCTATCTCTGATAAATGTTGTCCTAGGGTCTGAGCCTTCGAAGCTGATTTTGGCTTTATATACTGCATTGCGCACCCCTGTGGTGACTAGTATAGTGGAAGGGGCCAAATCCCATTGGGAGGCGGATGTTGGGCCATTGGTAACAGAGGTCTGGGACGAGATTTTGGAGGGCACCAAGTTGGCCTCACCAAGACTACCTGATAGACTATCAAGCTTACATTACACCACTTTACGTCGCCAGATTTCACCCAGAGTGGAGCCTCTTGTGCCAACAATGCCTCAGGGAAACCGGTACCTTTTTTTTCACCTCACCTCCTGACAAATCATCCAGACATGCTGGGAACAAATCATTAAGTTCCTGCATGACCACATGGGCCCTCCTCTACATTTAGATCCCAAAGCATGTCTGCTCGGTCTCCTCCTGGATCTGCCCAAGGATAAGCTCCTAGTCACCCTTTGACACGAATCCCTATTCAGCGCCCGGGAATTAGTTTCACAACACTGGATGCAAGCGACCATTCCTACCCTTCGGGCATGGTAGATTGACGTTAACTCGACTCTTTTGTATAAGAAATTGATTTATATTCATAGGGGTTACCCCACGAAGTACAATAAAATACGGGACAGATCTCTTGATGTGCCTATTACTTATGTGACTTGATTGAGCAGGGGGTGCTTGTGACCGGTTTACCCTGCCCTCCATCAGTCTACATCCAGTCATAGAATATTTGAGTCTAGACAGTGGACTCAGCATAGTTCAGAGTATCAATAGTCTTTAGTTGTCTCAAATGTTTATTTGAAATTTCCTTGTTACAGAGCATGTAACCTTTATTGTGCAATATGTACTGTCACTGTACCTTGTTTGCTTGTTAATAAAGTTGTTTCAATGTTAAAAATCTGTGTTCCATTCCTGATTACAGGCAGAGGCAGCATATCTCTCAGCTGGAACAGAGAATACGAGAGAGTGAGATGAAAGCACACGGCACTCTTTTAAGCCAGACCAGTTCTTACAACGATATGTGCCTGATCAGGTTGCAGGTAAATACCTTTTTTAGACCAGACATTCCCTCACCTATTTATCATCTTTTATAAAAGGCCAACAGACTCGAGCGTCCTATTTTATTTTAGGACCTTCAGCGAGAAGTTACTTTCTTGAGAGCCCAATTTGCAGAGAAGACAGAGTCTTCTGGTCGTGAGAAGGCAGAGTTGGAGAAGAAATTGTGTGCTGTGGAGGCAGAAAATAAAGCGCTCAGAGAAGCTATAAAGGAGGCAGCCCAAAGGCAATCAGATGAATTGAACAGACAAGAGGAACGAGTAAGTGTGTGTATACTGTATGTATATGTATGATATATAAAATTTGTTTTATTTTTCTTTTATATATACATGCGCACGTAAAAACTTTCCTTTCAGAATCAACATTTTCTATGGGTCACTATACACTAAATGTGGGCCATTGATTACAAACAAAATTCGTTAATTTGCGCACACAGTATTTTTCCTACCAAATTCATTCAAGACCATGTTGCAAAAATGAATACACCACAAGTAAAGCTAAATTCTAGACAACAAAATCCTAATTAACAAGAATCCAACTACAGGTGAGTCTAATTCATTACACAAGTGTCCAGCAGACAGTTGATTATAAAAGGACGTAATTTAACAAAGAAAACCCCTTCCCATTTCATGCTGTCAGCAATGGCACCACATGGAAAAGAAATGTCACATGGTCTGGGAAAGAAAATTTCTTTACACAAGAAAAGTGAAGGCTATACAGGTGTCCAACAGTTGATTATAAAAGGGCGTCATGCTGTCAGCAATGGCACCACATGGAAGAGAAATGTCACAAGGCCTGAGAAAGGAAAATAATTTCTTTGCACAAGGCTACAAAAAAATCAGCAAAGCATTACTAATCAGTCAATACTGTAGCAAAAGTGATACAAAAATTTTACAAAGATGGAACTGCAACAATATCACAGAGGCATCCGGGCTGTCTGCGGATGTTAACACATCAAGGTGCGTTTTCTGATGAGAAGGGTTGAAGAAAATTGCCATGCAAGTTCACTGCAGTTAGCTAAAATAGTAGAAAGCCAAACTGGGGTGTTTGTTTCCTGGGATACAATACGGTGTACACTGCAGAGGAGTGGTGAGCATGGGTGTCGTCCACGAAGGAAACCTCTCCTAAAGCTCATACACAAAACAGCCCACCTAGAATTTGCCAGGGCCCTTGCTTTAAAAGATTACTGGGACGCTGTACTCTGGAGTGATGAGACCAAGATACATTTTCTTTGGAACTGATGGCTTCAAAACTGTATGGCCTCGCAAAGGTGAGGAGTACAAATTAAAATCCTTGGTGTACAGTGAAACATGGTGGTGGCAGTGTCCTTCTGTGGGGCTGCATGAGTGCTGCTGGTGTTGGGGAGCTGCATGTCATTGATGGTATCATGAATTCACAGATGTGTTGCTTTTATATTGAAAGAGAAGATGCTACCATTACTCCATGCTGTTGGTCATTCTTCACTTTTTCCAGTAATCAAAAACGTACATCTAAGGTCACTGTTGTATTTCTGAAGAACAGGATGAATGTGATTCAGTGGCCAAGTATGTCTCCTGCTCTGAACCCAATCGAACACCTATGGGGAAACCTGAATAGACAAAATGATTATCACTCTCCGTCCAGTATTCAGACTCTAAAAGAGGTCATTCTTGAAGCATGGAATAAGATAGATATTGCAATACGTCACCAACTTGTTCATTCCATGCCTAGAAGACTTGGTGCTGTCCTTACAAATCATGGAGGTCATACAAAATACTAGATGGAGTAGTTTTTGTTGTGGGGTGTATTCATTTTCGCATCAACTAATTTGAGTATATAAAGAAATATATATATATTCAAATACATATACAGGTGCCGCGCTCCATAATATAAACATAAAATCATATACAAGTGATCATATAAATGGTGATGTGAAAAAAAACCTTTGTGCTTCAAATCAGTGCAGTGTTTAGTGCTTTTCAAATTACTACCCTTTTTCTTGGGTAGTAGATACCCCAAGGAATTTGATAAGAGGCATGGTGAATATTTTACAGATATCATTTTTGTCACAGGGTTTTGAAAAAGAAAAAAATACATTTTTGTTTTCTTTCTTCATTTTCCAAAAACATGTGGCAACAAATGAGATATGCAAAATACTCACCATGCCTCTAAGCAAATACCTTGGAGTGTCTACTTTCCAAAAAGGGATCATTTGGAGGGGTTGCTTCTACTATCCTGGCATTTCAGGTCCAACATTAGAAGCTTATGCCACTCATCACCCACTCTTGAAGACCAAGCCTTTTCTGGCACTTTGCCTGTTGCTTAATTGTTTGATAAAATATAAAAGATGATGTTACGCCCAGTAAATAGATACCAGACATGACGTGCTTTAAAACTGTTTATATCCTGCGAAACTGAAGTGATGAAATGCTCGCTAGCTTTCGATTTCTTAGACTATAGAGATGATTGGAGCCATTCTGGTCTCTTATCAGCTCTATGGTCAGCCAGCGTATCTGCCGGCTGCAGTCTCTGATTCTCCAGTGGGACAGGAGAGCCCAAGAAAACTGCGGCAGGAGGGGGGGGGGGGGGATGTCCCTTTCTGCTGCTGCTCGTAAAAAAAAACAATTCAGCAGCTAACTGGCCACTAGGATTGCTTTTATATGAAAGCCGACCGCCAGCTGAAAAAAAAAAACCCGTTACCAGGATAATGCCTGTAGCTGCATGCATCATCCGCTATAACCACGCAAAGTCCAGCAACGTACCAGTACATTGCTGGTTCATGTTGGTCATATATGTAACAGCAGAGAACACGAACATACGATGAGTCGGCTCTGTGGATCAATATGATTGCAATTCATTCTTTTTTGTAATGTCCATGTTGAGGCTTAGGCCCAAAAAAGGTTTTTAAATTCATAAACCGTGATAGGTTTCCATGTGAATTGTCTGTCAAGAGCTGAATTTGGGTGGGTGGTGATGTATTGTTGTGCATATAAATTGCCTTGGCCCACAATCAATTGGTACAAATCTTCCATAAAAAAATAGCGGAAGGGCTAAACGCTAGTGCTGGCAGCTAACGGGGCCGATCCTGCTAACACTGCGTTTTTGGGAACACTATACACTAGGGTCGCTGGGGGTGATCAGTGACCTATAGCATGAGTGTGATAGTGTGCTGGCAATCTAACGCTAGCTGACCCTGGCTGGGAGGGATGCTTGCTGACCCTGACGTTATCTGATGTCGCTACTGGCAGGAATGCAGTGATCAGTGAAAAATGTTATATACTGGCATTGGCTTTCACAGGGTGAAATGTGGTAATCTAACGCGTGTGTGTGTGTAAAATGTAGTGCTTTTACGCGGTGCTGTGTTCTCTCTTCTCTCCTGGACCTGACCAGGGGGGAACAGGCGTGTTCACATCCCAAAACAGGAAGCGACTCAAGATTACGTCGCTTTGCCAAGAGCTGCTGCTCGCCCGCAAAAGGCGGGTAAGCAGTTGGCAAGTAGTTTAAAAAAAAAATTTTTTTTTTTTTTAATTCTCAATATAGTATTTTTTATTTTGTTCTATTTTTTTTTTTCTAAACTTTTTTTTTTTTTTTTTTTTTTGTTTTAAATACTTTTCTCAGAATAGTACAATGTTACCATTGTACATAGTTACTACCTAACTCATTCATGAACTGTCATGAATGAGTAAGGTTTTTGGCAGCTCAAGATAGTGATCTGTGATTGGCTGGAGCTAGTCACATGGTTCCAGGGTTCTGTGATTGGCCTCATGTATCATGTGACAGCTGTGATAAAATCACAGCTCACTAGGAGAAGCAGAGCTGTTATGAATGAGATTGATTCATAACAGCTTTGCTTACATTGTGGTCATGTGATTGCTATGCAATCACATGATCACGGGATCTTCATTCCGCTGTGTCCACTGGACAGCTGTCGTGAAGGGGTGGGAGAGAGAGAGAATTAAACTGACCCAACATCTTTTAATTTGTTTTTTTTGTTTCTTACTACAGGTGAAAGGAAGGGAAAGGCATATTAATTCTTTGAAGAAAAAGTGCCAGAAAGAGGCAGAGCAGAACAAGGAAAAGCAGCAGAAGATTGAGTCTCTGGAGAGATACATGGCTGATCTTCCTACTGTGCAGGACTACCAGAAACAACTGCATCAGGTAAAATCCCACACAATGAGCCACAGGTTGCATGGCACCCACAATCAGATCAGCAAGATTGGGATGAAGAAATAAACATCAAGGCAGTATAACAAGGTCAGACAGTGCACAGAAAATGTCCATTGGTTTCAGAATCATCCTGTGAATTCAGTTTCTAATCTTTTGACAGTGACCATAAACTGTATTTGTATTTGTTATTTCTAAACCACATTGCTGTCCCTTTTTCTTAACTATAAGCATATATGTATTTAACAATTTTGTGGGGAAAACATTTAAATTTCTTTCATTTTTCCAATGAATTGTGGGAAAAAATTACAGCTTCAAAAAATTGAAACTTGCCTCTTGCTAAATCCCATGGGCTGTCTACTTTCCAAAAAGGGGCTCTCTCTCTCTCTCTCTCTCTCTCTCTCTCTCTCTCTCTCTCTCTCTCTCTCTCTCTCTCTCTCTCTCTCTATTTATTTTTTATTATATTTATTTATATATATATATATATATATATATATACACACTCTTAAGTAAAAAAATCTAAAAATCTGTCATGGGTTGTGGACTCTAACACTTTCCTACAAGAAATGTAGCAGAATACAGTTTGACCTAAATTTTATGACGAAAGACTATCTCTTTACAAAATGTTATAACCGAAATGAAGAAACACTTTCTTTTCTTTTTTTTCCCCCAAATCTTTCATTTTTTTTTTTTTTTTTTTTTCGTTTAGCAAAAAAAAACACAGTGGTTTAATACCACCAAAAAAAAAGCTCTATTTGTCTCAAAAAAAAAAAAAAAAAAAATTTCATTTGAGTACAGTGTTACATGACTTGTCATTCAAAGTGCGATAGCAGTGAAAGTTGTAAATTGACCTGGGCAGGAACAGGGTGAAAGTGTTTGGTACTGAGGTTGCTAATCACTACCTGTAAACCACTTACATTTTGGTTACATTCTTCAGCAAAAGCTCCCTTGACATGTTGCCATATACACAAAAAAGGTTTATATAGAAATGTTTTGGAAAATATATACATTGTGTCACCTTCATGGCAATCTTTCATTGTCACATTAGTTCTTCTCTGAAATCTGCACTATACCATGCTGTAAACTTCTGGAATAAGTTAGGGAAGTCAAGTTGTGTTGAAATGCTAACCGCAGATGGCGAGCATCTTTCTTGGATGCAGTAGGTGCAATAACTTCTGACAGGACGAGCATTGAGAATTTGAATTTAGGAGTTATAATTGGATTGGCTGTCATTGTTGTTGACTAGGTGTTTTTCTGTAAAATTCATTGATGTCCTCAGGTAAAGGTGGCGGCGGGGGGGGGGGGGGGGGGTGCGTGCCTAAAGGTGGAAATCTGGGGATCACTGATCACTCACCACTGAGACCTCTCTTTATATTAACAGTGGATATAGTGGTGAAGCAAGCTGTCACTAGGGCATGATTTGAGGGGAAAGTGAAAATTGATTATTTCTGGTTTCTTCTCCACTAATGAAATATTGTTCCATGTTTGTTATTGTACATGCCAGCTTTTGCTTGATACTTTCTAGAAATGTTTTCTTAGTTGTCTCCTCCTAAGATATTTGAAATGTGATCTGCTTAATTTGTTCCCAGATTTCCATACATACTTGAAGTTTTGTAAACTTCTTTTCATCTGAGAATAAGCGATGGCCAAGATGAAATGAATATAAAAATAATCCCCCTGCGCTCCACTGGTATGAACAAACACAACCCCAAATATATGCAAGCTGCTACCACCTATTCCCAATACCACAGGATGTATGACATAAAAAAAACAAATATTGGTGAAGCGCTTCACATGAAAAACTAAATGGGTGCAATGATATAAAATACATATAAAGTGACCACACTGTATTGAAAGGTATAGATAACTAGTGCTAAATAATCCCCCCAAAATATATATAGAAGTGCCAAGTGCTGAAAGTGCAAAACAGATAATGCGTTTGCTGACTAGATCGTGCCAAAATACAATATAAGCACAGTAAACATAATACACAATATCATTGCACACTCTAAGTGAAAGTGGACAGTGCTCAGTATGGGTATGAATATAGGTTAAAAGTAAAATCCACAATAAAGTGCAAAACAGGTCATGCGTTTGGTGACTAGATCGTGCCAAAATACAATATATGCACAGTGAAATAATACACAATAACATGAGTATGAATATTGATTAAAAGTAAAATCCACAATAAAGTGCAATAACAAAGTGCTTGACATTTCATGTGCAAACAAACACCGCGATGTCAGTGCTTCAATTCTTCAAACATGATGCGTGTTAGCATGCTTTACGCTCTATGCTCTTCATCAGGATGAAGCCACGTGATATCGTGGAGTAACGCATAGAGCCAAGTGACGTACTTCCGGTTATGCACTTTCAGCAGACGCTATCTTTGAACACCCAGCACCTTGCAGTACACCCACAGCACATGGGAGACCAGCTGTATGAGATCTGCTATACTGTGAGTGTTCTCTTGTGGCTTGTTTTTATCTGCTATATGGAATAAACGGCATTTCACTATGGAGGCTCTTTGTCTACCTCTCTATGGCCTTGTGATTATCCCGGGGGTATTACCATCTGAGGGCATAAGTGACCTGGCAGAAGAGGATCGAGTGGTACTACAGGAGTATTATTACAGAGATCCCCAGTCTGCTGGAGTTATATTACCTAAAGCATTGTGGCCCTTAGGGGTCACATGGTTAAGGTGAGGAGGCACTTTAGCCACTTTTGGATTTTGATATACACGTGTGGCATGCTAACACGCATCATGTTTGGAGTGAAGAATTGAAGCAGTGACATTGCGGTGTTTGTTTGCACATGAAATGTCAAGCACTTTGTTATTGCACTTTATTGTGGATTTTACTTTTAACCAATATTCATACTCATACTGAGCACCTGTCACTTTCAGTTAGAGTGTGCAACGTTATTGTGTATTATTTCACTGTGCTTATATTGTATTTTGGCACGATCTAGTCACCAAACGCATGACCTGTTTTGCACTTTCAGCACTTGGCACTTATATATATTTTTAGGGGGGATTATTTAGCACTAGTTATCTATACCCTTCAATACAGTGTGGTCATTTTTATATGTATTTTATATCATTGCACCTATTTAGTTTTTCATGTGAAGCGCTTCACCAATATTTGTTTTTTTTTTATGTCATACAAGATGAAATTAAGAAAGTTGCAAAATACAGCTAATGGCAAATAAAAATGATGAGCCAATATCAAGCATGGATTTATCAAGACAGACCCAAATTTTCTGACGGTTTATAATAATTTTTAGCTTCAGCCATGACAAGGGAGGAGAGGACATCCATTTCACGGTTTACATAAAAAAAAATAAAATATTTTTTTTTTAGTTGTTAGGGTTTCTTTGACATAATATGCAAATCAAGGGTTATGGATTTATCAAGACAGAACCAAAATATTTTGGTCTGGTTTCTTTGACATAATATGCAAATCATTTTATTTTTGGTCTGCATATTTATGAAACTTAATACCATGTCACAATGTTTTTTCCCAAGAAAGCTTCTGAAATAAGGCAGCTGCAGGTTAAGAGGATCAGGGGTAGGAGATAAAAAAAAAAAACACTGCTGTGTGGAATACATTGACAGGCTGCATCATATACATCACTTTGTGTTGTTTTTTTGTTCTTTTTCTTCAGCTGAAGGAACTCCACGAAAAGAATTACCTTCTGCAGGAACAAGTCAGTGATCTAGAAAGAAAACTGGCAGAAGCTAGAGCAACCTGTAGAGAGAATGAAACTAAGCTTGCAGCTGAGAATTTCAAAGTACAAGAACATTTGAATACCATTGAAAGGTACCCATTGAATAAGATACACACAGCCAGATAGCTTACTCTACCAACGTCTGACCTTTTTGGAATGATTTGCTGGTTAGTTTACAGAGGGAACTAAAAAAGCTGGAAACCACAGACTGGAAAGTGGAAGAAAAGAGGTTATTACAAGAAGCAGAGGATTTAAGACGAGAAATAGAATCTCATCAAAAAGAACAGGAAGGCCTAAGAAAGGTACAAACTCTTATAAACCGAGATCCTCTAAAAAGGAAGCGATGAAATACTCACTTATGTCTATTTATAGGTGGTGGAAAGCCAAAAGAAAAAGCTGGAGCAGATGTGCAATAAAACAAAGGTAACAAACCATTTATTCTGTTCTCTATTCTAACTGACATTATACATGCATTTTTAGAGAACCATGAGCCCCGATGGTATTTATCCTAGAGTTCTAAGAAAATTTTGAGGTATAGTTATTCGACCATTAACCTCCCTGGCGGTATTCCTGAGTGTAGCTCGGGGTAAAGTTTCAGCACCACAATCGGTAACCCGTGCTACACTCGGGAATACCCTGCAGCGTTGCTCTGGGATCCCTTCTGCACTTACCTTGTCCTGCGCTCCCGCGATGTCCCCCCTGCAGCGTCCCCGGCCATCTCCTCCGGCCAATGTCGGCATCTGTCTTCCGGGTTCTGTTCCCTGCGACGTCAAGACGTACGGGGACGGAACTGGCGGGAAATTTAAAAATGTCAAAAAGAAGTGACATTCACTAAATACACTAAAATTACATAGTAAAACATTACTGTATCAAACCATTTCACATAAATTTTGTCCCTAGTGCTTTGTCCTGTGCCCTGCCTGCATTTTTACTGTTCTTTCTGCCTGGAAACTGAGAAAAGTCCATGGTGTCCAAAAAGCATCCCTTTAGGTCAAAATCGGTTTTAGACCGGCTAGAGAACAGTGATAGTAAATTAGAACTACTTGCAGAATTGAGTGATAATGATTTGTGGGGGAAATTCATCATCAGACACTGAAAATGATTCTGCGACTTTGCTCAGTGATGTGCGAACTTGGCGCTATATTTCAAATTTCAGTGTTTTTGGTTTGATTATATTATTGAATTAAATGTATTATTAAATTATTATTTTTTATGATTATTAAATTATAATTTATGATTTCATGTTTCAAATTGTAACATACCCGGGATGTTTACTAGACTCTTGTTCGGACAGATTTCAGTCAGTTATTCCTAAAATTTACAGGCCTACAATAAAAAAACGACATATTTCCATGCAAAAAAATGTACCGCTATGAGCACAGAAATATGGACATAATCAGACCGCTAGGGAGGTTAACAGATCTTTTTTTTTTTTTTTTTAATCAACCTCTTCTAAAAGAAGTTCCCCATGACTGTTGGACAGCTAATATTGTACCTATCTACAGGCAGCAAGGTAGAGGCTGGCAAATACAGGGCAGTGAGATTTAGCACCAGTTGTAATGAAGTTAATGGAATCACTCCTGAAAAGGGTTATTGATCACTTAAAAAATCTGCAACGTGCTGGACCCAAAGCAGCATAGCTTTACTGAGGGCAGATAATGTCCGACTAATCTGATTTAATTCTTTGACTATATCACTAATGTTTCCAACCAGGGTGATACTGTGGACATAGATCATTATGAAGAACTGTATCAAATGCTTTGCTAAAATCAAGATAGGCTAATACAAAAGTTGTAGAAGCTAGGACTTGGTGTTACTAAACCCTCAACAGTAAAATCACTCTGTATATGCAGTAAAGCATGCTTGTTGTACTCACTGTGGAACCTAAGGGCTTAATTGTCCACATTTTGTCGTTTCTTCTCTGCCCCTCTTGTTGAAATGACCACCTGATATAGACTGATGATCTGTAGTCACATGCTCAGTTTGGTGTGTATTGCTAGAGAGTTTTTTTTTTTTTTTTTTTGCCTTGGGAGGGTGTATGTGATCAGCACAGGGCCAATCAGGCACTGTCCAGACATAGGGTCAGGACTTTCACATCCTCCTAGAGCAGAAAGAAAACTACTCCTACAGGCTTTAACCAGTGCTCTGCTGATGTCACAAGACTGCTCTACCTGCTGATGAGAAAAGGTATTTAGCAGTTTATATTTACTAAAATAATTGCATTTCCATGTTGTGTGTACTGTGGGAGACCAGATATAGTGAATGCAGGGTCCTGGGTTTAGTATGACTTTAATAATGATCTGGTGCTGCACTGTAACATGCAAACAATACAAACAGAATGAAATGGACAAATGTTGTGCAATGTCCCCATACGAATACCATGCAATAAAGCACTGAAATGTGTGTGCGATATCCATAATAGATAAATCAATTATGCGCAAATAAAGTATGTTCAATTACAATGTGAATCGGTTCATATAAATCAGTCCAATATTTTCCATTTCATTCACAGTCCTTTTTAAAGTGCATTCACATTTAACAAAGCTACATCCTCTGAAAGAGTTGACGAGCACATTGATTCAGTACTGCAAGCACTTTTACAGTGGATTCACCTTTAACTGTGAATGCACCTTGTGGCGCTTACTAAGGGTGGAAGTGTGAATAAATCAAAGAGTGCGCTAAATATAAGTAAATACAAAAATTAATTTAAAATAATGATGTCCGTGTTAAAAAAATATTATATAAAAGTCCATCCACCATCACAAAGTAATTAAACAGTTCTGAAATCTTGTATAAATCAAACACCGTGCGAAAAAAAAAAAAAAAGAAATCCACCACCGAATGAAATGGGTACACTCACCAGAGCTCCATGCTGACCAGATTATAAGTCAGCAAAGATAGCGTTTGCTCTGGGAGCGATGATCAGCAGAAGTAATCCAAACTGGGTGCAATATACTGCAAGCAGCCAATCAGCACAATATGGAATAGCCTTAACAGCAGGTAGTCATCACGTCTGCATACCATAGATCATGTTCGGGAATCAAAAAAGGAAATCATGGTGCAGTACATTTAAAACCAAAATGTTTTATTAAAACGTCAGAAATGCACTCACAAACAGGGTGTCTAGCCGACACCAGCAATGACAGCCTCAAGAAAACAGAGACGAGCCTCGCTCACCGCAATATCACAGCCGACAGTCTACGAGGAGCGCCCAGACGTCACATCCAAAAGAAGCCCCACCCTACTAGTTTTGTCATCCGACGTCCTCACGGGGTGGAATGGATGATAGACGTCTCTACACAACTATATATCACACACTCAGTCTGCATTGCAGACTAATTGCAGCCAATCAGAAACGGCATTATGGTAACACAATACCGCTCGATCTCTGCAGGTACATAAGAGTGATTGCACATAAAATACATATAAAAAATTACTTCAATACAAGCAAGCGAGCGATCCCAAAACAATAAAAAAAAATTTTCATACCTGTTAAATAGCAATTACCCACAATTAATATACAGCAATAATGAAATGGTAAACATAATCCTAAATAATTAATATGTAATTTATAAACTATAATAATATGCAGCTTAAATAATACATAAAATACATCCGCCAAGCCATATATAGTAATAAATGCATGTAATAATGTGTATATATAAAAATCACTATAATATACCTATAGTAATAGCATCGAATACATTAAAAAGACCAATAATGGCATAGAATTCATTGAAGGGCCAATATTCTATTGCAAATGTCAAATTAACATCCCAAACTAGTCGTAATTTAAAAAGAATGCGATAGTAACAACCAGATATTATTATAAGGTAATAAAACCTATAAATGGATATTAAAATCCATCTATATATACAGTCAGGTCCATAAATATTGGGACATCGACACAATTCTAACATTTTTGGCTCTATACACCGCCACAATGGATTTGAAATTAAATGAACAAGATGTGCTTTAACTGCAGACTGTCAGCTTTAATTTGAGGGTATTTACATCCAAATCAGGTGAACGGTGTAGGGATTACAACAGTTTGCATATGTGCCTCCCACTTGTGAAGGGACCAAAAGTAATGGGACAGAATAATAATCATAAATCAAACTTTCACTTTTTAATACTTGGTTGCAAATCCTTTGCAGTCAATTACAGTCTGAAGTCTGGAACGCATAGACATCACCAGATGCTGGGTTTCATCCCTGGTGATGCTCTGCCAGGCCTCTACTGCAACTGTCTTCAGTTCCTGCTTGATCTTGGGGCATTTTCCCTTCAGTTTTGTCTTCAGCAAGTGAAATCCATGCTCAATCGGATTCAGGTCAGGTGATTGACTTGGCCATTGCATAACATTCCACTTCTTTCCCTTAAAAAACTCTTTGGTTGCTTTTGCAGTATGCTTTGGGTCATTGTCCATCTGCACTGTGAAGCGGCGTCCAATGAGTTCTGCAGCATTTGGCTGAATATGAGCAGATAATATTGCCCGAAACACTTCAGAATTCATCCTGCTGCTTTTGTCAGCAGTCACATCATCAATAAATACAAGAGAACCAGTTCCATTGGCAGCCATACATGCCCACGCCATGACACTACCACCACCATGCTTCACTGATGAGGTGGTATGCTTAGGATCATGAGCAGTTCCTTTCCTTCTCCATACTCTTCTCTTCCCATCACTCTGGTACAAGTTGATCTTGGTCTCATCTGTCCATAGGATGTTGTTCCAGAACTGTGAAGGCTTTTTTAGATGTCGTTTGGCAAACTCTAATCTAGCCTTCCTGTTTGTGAGGCTCACCATTGGTTTACATCTTGTGGTGAACCCTCTGTATTCACTCTGGTGAAGTCTTCTCTTGATTGTTGACTTTGACACACACACAGCTACCTCCTGGAGAGTGTTCTTGATCTGGCCAACAGTTGTGAAGGGTGTTTTCTTCACCAGGGAAAGAATTCTTCGGTCATCCACCACAGTTGTTTTTCGTGGTCTTCCATGTCTTTTGGTGTTGCTGAGTTCACCGGTGCGTTCCTTCATTTTAAGAATGTTCCAAACAGTTGTTTTGGCCACGCCTAATGTTTTTGCTATCTCTCTGATGGGTTTGTTTTGTTTTTTCAGCCTAATGATGGCTTGCTTCACTGATAGTGACAGCTCTTTGGATCTCATCTTGAGAGTTGACAGCAACAGATTCCAAATGCAAATAGCACACTTGAAATGAACTCTGGACCTTTTATTTGCTCATTGTAATTGGGATAATGAGGGAATAACACACACCTGGCCATGGAACAGCTGAGAAGCCAATTGTCCCATTACTTTTGGTCCCTTAAGAAGTGGGAGGCACATATGCAAACTGTTGTAATTCCTACACCGTTCACCTGATTTGGATGTAAATACCCTCAAATTAAAGCTGACAGTCTGCAGT